GCCGGTACTCCGGTTAACGCTCCCACAGATAGGCCTCAGCCAACCGCTAATCCCTCCGCTGCCCCTGTCTGTGAGAAGAATCTTTCTCCCACGAGTAGGCCTGCGCCGGCCCCCTGTCCTAATCAGGCAGCGGCTGACTCAGACCGTGTGACAATTCCTCCCAACGCGCCTAGGCCTCCGCCGGTCGTTGCTTCTGTGTCCGCGCAATGTCCTTGCAAGGTGTCGCCCTGCGTGTGCATTTCCGGAGCTAATGTCTCCGCCGCGTCTCCTCCTACCGTTCCCCTTCTCCCTACCGACATCCCGTTAACCTATCCTCTTCTGGATAGAATGTGCCCTGTTTGCAACAACTTTTCCGGCACTACCAACAGGATTTCAGCCACATCCGCTCCGTCCACGCTAAGCAAGTGACCTTTATGTGTCGGGGCTGTCGCCATTTCTTCCGTTCACTGGGGATTGTGAAGAGACATTTCAACCGCGATCATGGGGTCATCCCTCGTCCATCTATTTAGATGACTCGGACTCTCCTGCCGCTGCATCCCAGTCCCCCCCTTCCCAGCCCATTGTCCAACGCATCTCTGTTGGGCCTTCCCCCGCCACCATTCCCACTCTTCCCGCTCTGCCGAATGGCTCGTTTGCGAAAGTGGTCAAATCTCCCCCCCCGGCTCTTCCTTCCGCAAAGGCTCTCTTGCCGCTCGCCACTCTGCCGCCGTCGCCTTCTAAAAACAAAAATAATAGTAAGATCAGGAAACCCCGTCCCCGTAAGGTTATCTCCTCCTCAGCACTCGTCCCAAAAATACCCCCGGCCAGTGCGATCCCAGATTCGGGTTCGGTTGTTTCTTCCTCCTCTTCTAGGGCCACCCTTGCACGACCGACGGAGGCTGGGAAACCTCCTCCTAAAGTCGGTGCTCCGACCAAGACAGTTCGTTCCCCCCCAACTACAGGTCCGAACCCCTCTGCCCAAGCTCGGATTTCCCCTCCTAAAGAGCGGATTTCCCCGCCTAAAGGTCAGATTTCCCCGCCTAAAGTTAATAAGGGGTTGAGCTCTCCGGACTCGGCCGCTGGTCCTGCCTCCGTGATGTCTCCCCCGCCTCCCCCGCGCCCTTCTTCCACAAGCCTAAGTCAACTTATCCGTGAAGAACGCGTCGCCTCTAATCCCTCCCCACCTAGGCCTACCCTTGCCCCGGTATCGACTCGTCACCGGTGGCGCCCCTGGTGGTCCCCGATTCCCCCCCGCCGCCTTCGTGCGATACGGAGAGGGATGGTTCCTACGACGAGGACGCTGACATTATCCCCAGTTCTCTCGTCCCTTCTTCCTCTTCTCCCCCCCCGCTTTCTTGTCCCCGCTCTCCCGCTCGAGATTGGTCTCCCCCTCCGCGGTTGGATCGGTCGGTGTCCCGTGACCACGAGGTTACTAATGATAATAATAATAACAGTCTCCTCCCCGACCCCCCGTCCCCTCCTCCTGCGCACGTGTCCCATCAACAGCTTGAACGGGAACGCGAGGAGCAACTTTCGGGTTTCGCTGCCGCTATCCTAACTGAGTTTGCCCCCAAGATTATTGGAAGTCAGTCCGAATGGTCCCGCGTGGAAGAAGTTTTCGACGCCTGGGTTCTCGCCATTTCCAACGCCAAGTCCAGGGTGCATGAGAGTGCTGGCGGTAGAGTCGCGAATAGGAACTTTGCTCGCCCCCCTCCGAATGCGGCTAACAATCAATGGCAAGCGGCTACTAATATCCAAAGGGCCTACAAGCGTAATCCGGCTAGCACTTTCCGCCGTATCGCTAACCCTGAGGAGACCAAGTGTTCCGCTTCCATTGAAGATATGACCTCTTTCTTTATTGAATCGGTCGCCCCTCCTCCTCCTTCATATCAGTGGTCTCCCGACAGGGAGTTTCTTCCGGCCGCGGCCCCACCGCCTGACCCAGAAGACGTTCAACTCGCCAATGAAATCCCCCCTGCTCTCACCCCCGATACCTTTAACTTCGAAAGCAGGGCCATCGACGGCATAGAATTGACCGACCCTAACCACCCCTTGCTCCGTCCCCCATCCCGCGCTGAGATTGTCGGCCAGCTTAAGCGAACCAACAACTCTGCTCCCGGTCTTGACGGCATCACCTACAAGGATCTTAAGAAATTCGATCCGAAAGGCTTAACCCTCAGGGCTTTCTATAGGTTGTTCTGGCGACATGGACAGATTCCCTCCTGTCTGAAGCGGTCTCGCACTATAATGATCCCCAAAAAGGATCTCGACCCTTCGCTGCCGGCCAACTGTAGGCCTATTGCCCTCCTCTCTACCATTTACAAACTTTTTAGTAGTCTGCTGGCCCGGCGTCTGAGTAGATGGGCCAGAGACAATGATATCCTTAGCAAGGAGCAAAGGGGATTTACTACGGCCCCCGGTGTCTTCGAGCATAACTTCGCCTTGACCTCGGCCCTTGACGAGGCCAAACGTAGTGATAAACGCATCTGCCTAGGATTCGTCGATATTGCGCAAGCCTTCCCCTCTATCCCCCATTGCGTTATCTTCGACATGTTGTCCCTTGTAGGAGTGCCGCCCAGTCTCGTTAACCTTATCCGGAATGTATATACCAACGCCACTACGGAGGTTATCACGACGGAAGGATGCACAGCACCCATTTCCATCCACAAAGGTGTTAGGCAGGGCGACGGTCTCAGCCCCTTCCTCTTTAATCTCTGCTTTGAGGGAGCTCTACGTAGCGTTAACGCCTCAAAAGACAGAGATGGGTTCAAGATCGCCGCTCAGGCGGCTGTCCTAGGTCTAAGGTCCGTATCCATTTGCGGTCTAGCCTATGCCGATGACCTTGTGGTGGTCGCAAACTCTCGCCGTGGTCTGCAACACCTCCTCAATGTTGCCGAGCGGTCGGCGGGTCTGGCAAACCTAAAATTTGCTCCGCGTAAATGCGCTACCTTGTGCCTCCATCGTGGAGTCGCCGACCCGACCCCCCTATTCGTGGCTAACGAACCTATTAAGGCGCTAGGCCTTGAGGAGACCTACACCTATCTGGGCACGCCCATTGGCTTCAGGAAGGAGCTTCTCAAGGATGATGGGGTGATTGAGAGGATCCGCTCCCTTCTTCGGCTTACTATGGAGTCCAACCTCGCGCCCTGGCAAAAGGTGTCCTCCATCAAGGCCTTCATTCTCCCCCGTATTCAATTCGCACTGCGAACCCACCGTTTCCTTAAGGAGGAACTAGCGGACCTCGATTCGATGGTTATTCGCGCTATCCGCACCACCATGGCCACCACAAACAACGCCGCTAGGTCGTTCTTTGCCGCTCCCGCTAAAATGGGCGGTGTAGGCCTAATCCCCACTAGGGTAGAGGTGGACATAGCCCGTGTGGGACACACTTTTCAACTCCTCAAATCGGAGGACCCTACCATCCGCTTTATCGCCTGCGCAACTCTTGTTAAGGCCGCTAAGGCCAGAGTGGCCCGCGGCACCGCTCTTACAGGGGACGTTTTGGCCTCTTACCTCAACGGGTCAACGACTCCTCCTTTCTCCTCTTCCTCCTCTTCCGCTCAGACGGTGATGTCAGTCACTAGGTCGGCCTCCAGGCGCTTGCACAAATCTATAAACCTTGAATGGCACCTTGATGACGCCCTTACGCCTACCATTACCGCCACGGTGAGTAGGAGTTGGCACCAGAACCAGCCGCAATTTCGCCACGAGGTCCAATCCAACTGGCAGGAATTGTCGTTTGGGGATGACGAACGCAACCTCGAACCCCTAGCTATCCGTATCCGTCGCACCCACGAACCTTTCCCATTACTTAGGTCGGCGGTCACGGAGCTCAATGTTAGAGAGTTCGCTAAATTGGCGGAGCAGGGCAGGTCCTTCCAGGACACCTGCTTGCACCCTGTCTCCAACCATTTCCTTTACACCGGCTTCGGCTTGCGGTATAAGGACTACCGATTCATCTTTCGGGCTCGGCTGGGTCTTCTCCAGACCAATGCCGTCAAGTCCAGATACAGTGCCCGGGTTAGGCCTGATTGCAGGCGGTGCCACTTCCAAGTGGAATCAGTGCGGCATGTTCTAAACAACTGCCGTACTGGGTATGGCCTGTACGGTGATCGACATAACGCCATCCAGGATCGTCTGGTCAAAGGTGCCCGCCTGGCGCCCGGTTCCACCATTACGGTAAACAGGACGTTGCCCGAATCCTCCACTGCCCTTCGCCCTGACATAGTGATTAGGTGCGCGGATGACAGGGTGGTGCTGATCGACGTCACGGTCCCCTTTGAGAGGCCTGGCGCCCTTGCTCGCGCTGCCCAGGAGAAGATCAACAAGTATGCGGTCCTAAAAACTGAGCTGGAGGGACAAGGCAAGGCAGTAGAGATTCTACCATTTGCTGTTGGTTCTTTGGGCGCCTGGTGCAGGGGGAACTCCAAGGTCTTTCGGGCTCTGGCATAGCGTTCGCTTACCGGGGTATGCTGTCCCAGCTGTGCGTGGCGGAAGCGATTCGTGGCTCAAAGGACGCCTACGACGCGCACATTAACGGTCATTAAAATAAAAATGTACTGGCTATCAACTGTTTATTCGTTTTTTCGTCTGTTATGTGTCTGTGATATGTTAAGGGTGTCGTAAATTATTGTAAAGTGCCTGTGTCACTGGGATTTACCCCTTTTCCCTTGCTTCTACATCAATCCTATTCTGCTATTTGTTCTCATGTGCCGGTTCCTGTTGGTCCACATTGGCCTTTAACTCCTGTCGTCTATGTCACTTATACCCCTCTTTTTTGTTTACCTAACTCCCTCTATGCCATTCATCCTGCAATTGAAAAACACTGTCTCCTCCTTTTACCTGTATAATACATTTAAATAACTCTGTTCTAGTTAGTTTAATCGCTAGCTGGCAATCCATTGGGTTGCCTTAATAACGATTACGGGATTTTTGTGTGGTCTGGGTTCCTAGAAGCTTGCTTCAAAGAATCCTCGGGTTGACTTGGTCTAGCAGTACCTCCAAGTTCGGCCCTTCTTCTCAATGGAGAAGGCCTCACTTAAGACCTCCCAAGGTGGAACAGTTACAAAACAGCCCTTTTCAGGGCTACCGGAGGAGCAGATGACGATGGGCAGGGCTGTACAAAGTAACGACGGCTCCTCTCTATCTGAGCTCATGGACGAGTCTCCTGTTCGACGTGATGACGAGATGGAAGACGCGGCAAAGCAGGATGCGGGCTCTTTAGCTAGCGTCCCCGCGGAAGACAACGGCCTGGACTTTGGTCCGGCAGTGGGCGCTGCAGAGGACGAGGATGCTGGATACATGGCGGATATGTTATGTGCGGCTGATGTGCGGCTGGCCTCTCAAGAACGTCTTCTCTGCCTTCCCGCGGCCCGACGCTCCTTCCCTCCTCGTTCTTTGTTTACTCCTCCTGCCGATCCTGTGTGTGTGTGTGTGCCTGTTTCGGACAACAACTCTCCCATCTCCGTTCCCGTCACCTCTACACCTGTCTCGCGTGTTATGGACATTACCGGTTCTCCCTCCCCCTCTTCTACCTCTACTACCTCTACTACTACTACCACTGCTACTACGGCTGCATCTTCTTCCTCTTCGGTTCTGGGTGCCCCCTCTGCCGTCCTCTCTTCCTCTTCTGCTACTGCTGATCCGGTTTCGTCGAGGGTGAGTACGGCTGTTCCTGGCGGTCATGTTTCTGTGTCTGTCCCTCCTTCTCGTCCCCCGTCCAAGTCCCGTCCCGCCCCATCTGTTGTTACTGTTGCTGTCCCTGTACCTGACCGTTCCCCTATCTATACTCGTTCCCTCGCGGCCAAGAAGAAGAAGGCTGCTTCTTCTCCTGCACCCGCAATAGCCCCCATAAGGGTTGCTACGCAAACTTTTTACAACTCCGAACGGCGTCGTTCGGTTGGTGGTGCCTCTGCTGTTGTCGCCGCTGTTCCTCCCTCGTCCGCCATTGTACCTGTTGATAATTCAAAATCATCCTGTGGGACTTCGGTTAGCGTGGCCGGTACTCCGGTTAACGCTCCCACAGATAGGCCTCAGCCAACCGCTAATCCCTCCGCTGCCCCTGTCTGTGAGAAGAATCTTTCTCCCACGAGTAGGCCTGCGCCGGCCCCCTGTCCTAATCAGGCAGCGGCTGACTCAGACCGTGTGACAATTCCTCCCAACGCGCCTAGGCCTCCGCCGGTCGTTGCTTCTGTGTCCGCGCAATGTCCTTGCAAGGTGTCGCCCTGCGTGTGCATTTCCGGAGCTAATGTCTCCGCCGCGTCTCCTCCTACCGTTCCCCTTCTCCCTACCGACATCCCGTTAACCTATCCTCTTCTGGATAGAATGTGCCCTGTTTGCAACAACTTTTCCGGCACTACCAACAGGATTTCAGCCCACATCCGCTCCGTCCACGCTAAGCAAGTGACCTTTATGTGTCGGGGCTGTCGCCATTTCTTCCGTTCACTGGGGATTGTGAAGAGACATTTCAACCGCGATCATGGGGGTCATCCCTCGTCCATCTATTTAGATGACTCGGACTCTCCTGCCGCTGCATCCCAGTCCCCCCCTTCCCAGCCCATTGTCCAACGCATCTCTGTTGGGCCTTCCCCCGCCACCATTCCCACTCTTCCCGCTCTGCCGAATGGCTCGTTTGCGAAAGTGGTCAAATCTCCCCCCCGGCTCTTCCTTCCGCAAAGGCTCTCTTGCCGCTCGCCACTCTGCCGCCGTCGCCTTCTAAAAACAAAAATAATAGTAAGATCAGGAAACCCCGTCCCCGTAAGGTTATCTCCTCCTCAGCACTCGTCCCAAAAATACCCCCGGCCAGTGCGATCCCAGATTCGGGTTCGGTTGTTTCTTCCTCCTCTTCTAGGGCCACCCTTGCACGACCGACGGAGGCTGGGAAACCTCCTCCTAAAGTCGGTGCTCCGACCAAGACAGTTCGTTCCCCCCAACTACAGGTCCGAACCCCTCTGCCCAAGCTCGGATTTCCCCTCCTAAAGAGCGGATTTCCCCGCCTAAAGGTCAGATTTCCCCGCCTAAAGTTAATAAGGGGTTGAGCTCTCCGGACTCGGCCGCTGGTCCTGCCTCCGTGATGTCTCCCCCGCCTCCCCCGCGCCCTTCTTCCACAAGCCTAAGTCAACTTATCCGTGAAGAACGCGTCGCCTCTAATCCCTCCCCACCTAGGCCTACCCTTGCCCCCGGTATCGACTCGTCACCGGTGGCGCCCCTGGTGGTCCCCGATTCCCCCCCGCCGCCTTCGTGCGATACGGAGAGGGATGGTTCCTACGACGAGGACGCTGACATTATCCCCAGTTCTCTCGTCCCTTCTTCCTCTTCTCCCCCCCCGCTTTCTTGTCCCCGCTCTCCCGCTCGAGATTGGTCTCCCCCTCCGCGGTTGGATCGGTCGGTGTCCCGTGACCACGAGGTTACTAATGATAATAATAATAACAGTCTCCTCCCCGACCCCCCGTCCCCTCCTCCTGCGCACGTGTCCCATCAACAGCTTGAACGGGAACGCGAGGAGCAACTTTCGGGTTTCGCTGCCGCTATCCTAACTGAGTTTGCCCCCAAGATTATTGGAAGTCAGTCCGAATGGTCCCGCGTGGAAGAAGTTTTCGACGCCTGGGTTCTCGCCATTTCCAACGCCAAGTCCAGGGTGCATGAGAGTGCTGGCGGTAGAGTCGCGAATAGGAACTTTGCTCGCCCCCCTCCGAATGCGGCTAACAATCAATGGCAAGCGGCTACTAATATCCAAAGGGCCTACAAGCGTAATCCGGCTAGCACTTTCCGCCGTATCGCTAACCCTGAGGAGACCAAGTGTTCCGCTTCCATTGAAGATATGACCTCTTTCTTTATTGAATCGGTCGCCCCTCCTCCTCCTTCATATCAGTGGTCTCCCGACAGGGAGTTTCTTCCGGCCGCGGCCCCACCGCCTGACCCAGAAGACGTTCAACTCGCCAATGAAATCCCCCCTGCTCTCACCCCCGATACCTTTAACTTCGAAAGCAGGGCCATCGACGGCATAGAATTGACCGACCCTAACCACCCCTTGCTCCGTCCCCATCCCGCGCTGAGATTGTCGGCCAGCTTAAGCGAACCAACAACTCTGCTCCCGGTCTTGACGGCATCACCTACAAGGATCTTAAGAAATTCGATCCGAAAGGCTTAACCCTCAGGGCTTTCTATAGGTTGTTCTGGCGACATGGACAGATTCCCTCCTGTCTGAAGCGGTCTCGCACTATAATGATCCCCAAAAAGGATCTCGACCCTTCGCTGCCGGCCAACTGTAGGCCTATTGCCCTCCTCTCTACCATTTACAAACTTTTTAGTAGTCTGCTGGCCCGGCGTCTGAGTAGATGGCCAGAGACAATGATATCCTTAGCAAGGAGCAAAGGGGATTTACTACGGCCCCCGGTGTCTTCGAGCATAACTTCGCCTTGACCTCGGCCCTTGACGAGGCCAAACGTAGTGATAAACGCATCTGCCTAGGATTCGTCGATATTGCGCAAGCCTTCCCCTCTATCCCCCATTGCGTTATCTTCGACATGTTGTCCCTTGTAGGAGTGCCGCCCAGTCTCGTTAACCTTATCCGGAATGTATATACCAACGCCACTACGGAGGTTATCACGACGGAAGGATGCACAGCACCCATTTCCATCCACAAAGGTGTTAGGCAGGGCGACGGTCTCAGCCCCTTCCTCTTTAATCTCTGCTTTGAGGGAGCTCTACGTAGCGTTAACGCCTCAAAAGACAGAGATGGGTTCAAGATCGCCGCTCAGGCGGCTGTCCTAGGTCTAAGGTCCGTATCCATTTGCGGTCTAGCCTATGCCGATGACCTTGTGGTGGTCGCAAACTCTCGCCGTGGTCTGCAACACCTCCTCAATGTTGCCGAGCGGTCGGCGGGTCTGGCAAACCTAAAATTTGCTCCGCGTAAATGCGCTACCTTGTGCCTCCATCGTGGAGTCGCCGACCCGACCCCCCTATTCGTGGCTAACGAACCTATTAAGGCGCTAGGCCTTGAGGAGACCTACACCTATCTGGGCACGCCCATTGGCTTCAGGAAGGAGCTTCTCAAGGATGATGGGGTGATTGAGAGGATCCGCTCCCTTCTTCGGCTTACTATGGAGTCCAACCTCGCGCCCTGGCAAAAGGTGTCCTCCATCAAGGCCTTCATTCTCCCCCGTATTCAATTCGCACTGCGAACCCACCGTTTCCTTAAGGAGGAACTAGCGGACCTCGATTCGATGGTTATTCGCGCTATCCGCACCACCATGGCCACCACAAACAACGCCGCTAGGTCGTTCTTTGCCGCTCCCGCTAAAATGGGCGGTGTAGGCCTAATCCCCACTAGGGTAGAGGTGGACATAGCCCGTGTGGGACACACTTTTCAACTCCTCAAATCGGAGGACCCTACCATCCGCTTTATCGCCTGCGCAACTCTTGTTAAGGCCGCTAAGGCCAGAGTGGCCCGCGGCACCGCTCTTACAGGGGACGTTTTGGCCTCTTACCTCAACGGGTCAACGACTCCTCCTTTCTCCTCTTCCTCCTCTTCCGCTCAGACGGTGATGTCAGTCACTAGGTCGGCCTCCAGGCGCTTGCACAAATCTATAAACCTTGAATGGCACCTTGATGACGCCCTTACGCCTACCATTACCGCCACGGTGAGTAGGAGTTGGCACCAGAACCAGCCGCAATTTCGCCACGAGGTCCAATCCAACTGGCAGGAATTGTCGTTTGGGGATGACGAACGCAACCTCGAACCCCTAGCTATCCGTATCCGTCGCACCCACGAACCTTTCCCATTACTTAGGTCGGCGGTCACGGAGCTCAATGTTAGAGAGTTCGCTAAATTGGCGGAGCAGGGCAGGTCCTTCCAGGACACCTGCTTGCACCCTGTCTCCAACCATTTCCTTTACACCGGCTTCGGCTTGCGGTATAAGGACTACCGATTCATCTTTCGGGCTCGGCTGGGTCTTCTCCAGACCAATGCCGTCAAGTCCAGATACAGTGCCCGGGTTAGGCCTGATTGCAGGCGGTGCCACTTCCAAGTGGAATCAGTGCGGCATGTTCTAAACAACTGCCGTACTGGGTATGGCCTGTACGGTGATCGACATAACGCCATCCAGGATCGTCTGGTCAAAGGTGCCCGCCTGGCGCCCGGTTCCACCATTACGGTAAACAGGACGTTGCCCGAATCCTCCACTGCCCTTCGCCCTGACATAGTGATTAGGTGCGCGGATGACAGGGTGGTGCTGATCGACGTCACGGTCCCCTTTGAGAGGCCTGGCGCCCTTGCTCGCGCTGCCCAGGAGAAGATCAACAAGTATGCGGTCCTAAAAACTGAGCTGGAGGGACAAGGCAAGGCAGTAGAGATTCTACCATTTGCTGTTGGTTCTTTGGGCGCCTGGTGCAGGGGGAACTCCAAGGTCTTTCGGGCTCTGGGCATAGCGTTCGCTTACCGGGGTATGCTGTCCCAGCTGTGCGTGGCGGAAGCGATTCGTGGCTCAAAGGACGCCTACGACGCGCACATTAACGGTCATTAAAATAAAAATGTACTGGCTATCAACTGTTTATTCGTTTTTTCGTCTGTTATGTGTCTGTGATATGTTAAGGGTGTCGTAAATTATTGTAAAGTGCCTGTGTCACTGGGATTTACCCCTTTTCCCTTGCTTCTACATCAATCCTATTCTGCTATTTGTTCTCATGTGCCGGTTCCTGTTGGTCCACATTGGCCTTTAACTCCTGTCGTCTATGTCACTTATACCCCTCTTTTTTGTTTACCTAACTCCCTCTATGCCATTCATCCTGCAATTGAAAAACACTGTCTCCTCCTTTTACCTGTATAATACATTTAAATAACTCTGTTCTAGTTAGTTTAACCGCTAACTGATAACACACTGTGTTATCTAATATGGTTAACAGTATTTTTGTCTTCAGAGAAAGCATTAAGCTTGCTTAAGTTTTCTCACGGGTTGACTTGGTATAGCAGTACCTCCAAGTTTGGCCCATTTTCTTCTACGGAAGAAAATTTCTACTCTAAAACAATAGCACATATAAGGGAAAAGAACCTCTTGTCCTTTTGAGGTTAAGTGGGATTTTCAGTACATTTATACAATTTATTTTTATTTATGTTCCAGAAATGGTCCACGCTACCGGGTAGTATGAAAAAAGCTTCTACGTCGGCATTATCATATTGCAGAAGAATCAAACCACAATTGCTTTCTTTCTTCATAACAAGAATTATAAATCAACGTTTCTTCAGCGCTTGAAACTCTGGAAGGCCAAGTGTGGACGGCGGAAAAATAATTTATTATTTGTATAATTATCTGGTGGACGTGTGGCATGTGGAGAAAAAGTGGCAGAAGTACACGTCGGTGATTTACTATTCACTGCCCAATCTCCAGACATCTAACTGGAAAAAGCATTACAACTATTATTAGACGCTTCCAATCAAGTTAACACTCACACATGCCAATCCTGAACTCCCTCATCATGAAATTTTGGTTGTCATCTACGTCGTAGATGGTCTTGTCCTCTACTTCTAAATCGTAGTTGTGTTGGCGATGCCTCCAGTGGACATAGTGGTAGATTAGAACTATCTTACGCGATTGGTTCTCGGTATTTTTCTGCGGTCAAAGGATCAATAAGCTTTCACAGGATTTCTCCTGGTTTCACTTGGTACTACATAACAACCAAGCAACGGCGGCGGCGTTTTGAAGGTTTCTATACACGCTCGCTATGTATTATTTCGAAATCCACATACCCTTTCACATTCGCGTTGTTAACGGTTCCATTGGACATATCTCTTGCGCGTCTATAGTTTTTGAATTTACCCTTTTTATCAAATTATTAGCGGGAAACAACGCATTGGTAAAACTGGTGCACTTTTGACTACTTGGCGCACTATTTTTTACCGGAGTGATCCCTGCCTCCACTTCCAGTAGATATAAATGTATCGCCGAAATTTGTATCGCCCTTGTAACCCCTAGAAAAGACTGGAGTACAAACAAAACTTTTTATTGATGAGTCGGATAATTCGGTCTATCTGGTATCTATATACTGTAATTCTTTAAAGTCAAACTGTTCTAAATCGAATTTTATAAAGATTAATTACAAAATAACAGAATTCAAAAATAAAAAACCACTTAAATGAAACTTTAGAAAAAAAACCGAATGATAATCTTGATACAGTTAAAAATTTTTGAAGATTAAACTGTAAATTTCAAAAAGTATAAGTATCACTTCTTTCCTATTTCACTAAATTTAAAGATAATATTAGTACACGAGAAAAAGGAATAATGACGCCATCTACCAGATAAATAACGACTGATAAATTGGAAAGATACGCCATCTACAGACATAAGCATCCGTTAAAAATGCCATCATACGCCATCTACAAATTACTGAATTTGCAAAAGACGCCGTCTACCGTTTGTAAAAGGAAACTTCAAAGTGCTACCAAATTTTAAAAACAAAGCAGTTAGTGACCTATTCTCAATAATCTAGTCGTTCTAACATTTTTGAATTAGCAATGAAAAAATATTTCACAAAAATTCTAAATCAATGTGAGGCGAAAACCGCTCCGTGCGTTTATGAAAATAAGATAGTACTACAAAAAGGTTCTAAATTTCGAATCGCAGGGACAAAAAGTAACGGAAATAGGCTCGAAACGCATAAAAAAACTGATGAAAAGATGGATGTTATCGCTTCTCGGCCTTTTGGCTAAGATCAAAGTGTAGTATCTGTTCTAGTTAGTTTAATCGCTAGCTGGCAATCCATTGGGTTGCCTTAATAACGATTACGGGATTTTTGTGTGGTCTGGGTTCCTAGAAGCTTGCTTCGAAGAATCCTTGGGTTGACTTGGTCTAGCAGTACCTCCAAGTTCGGCCCTTCTTCTCAATGGAGAAGGCCTCACTTAAGACCTCCCAAGGTGGAACAGTTACAAAACAGCCCTTTTCAGGGCTACCGGAGGAGCAGATGACGATGGGCAGGGCTGTACAAAGTAACGACGGCTCCTCTCTATCTGAGCTCATGGACAAGTCTCCTGTTCGACGTGAGGACGAGATGGAAGACGCGGCAAAGCAGGATGCGGGCTCTTTAGCTAGCGTCCCCGCGGAACACAACGGCCTGGACTTTGGTCCGGCAGTGGGCGCTGCAGAGGACGAGGAT